TCTTCTCGAACTAGGACTGCACTTATCGCTACTTCTGAAATAGCAAGGTAGAGGAGGAGACATTCCTCGGTTTCGGGCTTTGAGAGCAAGGGTAGCGATAATAGATATTCCTTGAGTTACTTCAACCCTTGTACACATTAGGGTGTCCATTCGAGGCCGTTATCCTTTTTGAGTATGTTGAAGAACCGGTGGCACCTGTTGGACGACCTTGAGATGAATCTGGACAGGGCAGGGATTCGGCCCGTCAGTCACTGGACTTGTTGGTTAGTGGTTAAACGCTCTGATATCCTGTCAATAGCCTTAATTTTGTCTGGGCTGACTTCAATTCCGCGTTGTGATACCTGGAAGCCTAAAAACTTATCCAATGTTACGCCAAATGCATTTTCTAGCGGTTCAGCTTCATCCGAAACTTCCTCAATATTTCGAATGCTTCCTTTTGATGGTCAATGTGATCCTCGGCCCTTATGTACTTAACCAACATATCGTCGATGTATACGTCCATGGTTTTGGAGAGTTGGTTTTTGAAATCCTCATGACCAGCCTTTGAATGGTAGCTCCCGCATCTTTAACCCGAATGGCATGACTCTTTAGCAGTATGTTCCAATGTGAGTAATGAATGTGATTTTCTCTTGGTCGTCTTCTTCCATGAGTATCTGATTGTAGCCTGAGTAAGCGTCCATAAAAACTTGGTAGCTCGTGTCATGATGTTGTATCGATAAGCTAATCGATGTGTGGCAATGGGAATGAATCCTTTGGGCAGGCTTTGTTCAGATCAATGAAGTATACACACATCCTCCACTTCCTGTTATTCTTTTTGACCATCACCACATTGGCAATCCACTTAGGGTACTTCGACTCCCTTATAGAGCTATTGGCGAGTAGTTTCTCTACTTTCTCATAGATGGCCTCATTTAGCTTGTGCGTGGTTATCTCTTTAGGGATGTCAGGCATATCTGCATGGCTAAAGGAAAACAAATATGTGTTAGCTATTAAGAATTCGCTAAATTTACCTAGGTCTTGGACCTTGCAGCCGATGGAAGCCTTTTTCTTAGGTCGTTGTGATCTAGCTGGACGGGATCGAGGTCTTCTATGGTCAATTTGCAGCTTCGACCATTTCTGGGTCCATAATGGTGTCCCTTGCTTCGACCTGTAGGGGCCTCGACCTTGCTAATTGTTATGCTTCTTTTTCTTTTTCTTTCTTTTGTTGGGTTGTCGTACCGTCCAAGGCAACCCGATAGCATTCCGGGGATGTGCGTTGTTTCCCTCGTATGCTGAATATTCCCCAAGGGTCGGGAACTTGATCACTTGGTACATGTTGGAGGGGACTGTTCTCATGGGGTGTATCCATGGTCGTCCTACGATAGCGTTGTATATTGTCTCTTGGTCCATGATGTGGAATACGGTCTCCAACATTACCCTACTAGCGAGGACGGAGAGTGTGATCTTGCCCTAAGTTCATTTAATTGCATTGTTAAAACCGGTTAGTGTAATGCAGTGTGGCACTATCTTATCCTCTAGTCGCATCTGTATGAGGACTCGAGGATGGATGATGCACGCCCCTCTTTCATCGTCTACCATAAGTCTCCTAACATCAGTATCAAGAATTCGTAAAGTAATGACAAGTGCATCATTGTGAGGGAAAGTCAAATCGCCGGCATCTGACTCATCAAGATGATACTTTCTTGGAGGCTGTCATACCATTCATGGGTGATTGATCTCTTAAGATTGTGAAAGGTTGTGAACTTGATGCCATTGATGGAGGCATCATCACTGCCACCAATAATCATGTTGATGGTGCGAGGGCGAAGGTGGCTTGTGGGCCTGGGTGTTCTCGACCCCTTGCTAAAGTGTTTCTGCCTTTGACGCTGAGTAACTCTTTGAGGTTTCCTCGCTGCAGAAGGTTTGCCACCTCTAATATTAGAGAGTGGCAGTCTTCCATTTCGTGTCCAGGGTCTTGGTGGAATTTACAGTAGGTGTCAAACTTCTTGGTGTCTGGGTCAGACCTCATCTTTAGTGGCAACTTCACCTTTGCTCCAAGCTTCTCAAGTGCGTAGACCACCTCTGTAGGTGAGATAAAAAGTTATGAGTAGATAGTAGGGTGCATACCTCGATCATTTCTGTGGATGTCTGATCTCGTTCTAAAGGGGTCGTCTTCGAGATGGAAATTAGGGATGGGTGCCCTGATATAAGGCTTATGTCGGTCTCTATTTGATCATCGTACTGGAGGGTCTCTCTTTGCGTTGTCCCTACGTTCCATCCTGGGTTCGGATTGTACTGAGGTGAGTCGTCGTGTTGCCCATTGAGGTCTTCGTCGTCTACCCTGACCTCAGCACAGTAGGCACTGTGTATCTCGTCCCACGTAACCGTTGGCACTTAATCATCGGCTCAGCAGTTTTCTGGTTGCTTTTGAGCCTTCTCTGTTTAGCCCATTTCCGAGGGCTGTCACGGCCATTCCTTTGGAGACATCTAGTAAAGTCATCCTCACCCTATTGAATCGGGCTAAGAAGTCCCTCAGCCCTTCCTATGGAGATTGTATGGTGGCAAAGATATCATTCACCCTTATTTAAGCTTTCTTCGCCCCAGCATGCACCGTCAAGAACTTGTTCGCATCTCTTCGAATGTTTTTATGGAGTAGGCTGGGAACTGCGAATAACATGTCAACACACCCTATGTGAGGGTTTCGCCGAAATTTACAACAAGATGGAGGACACCTTCTCTTTAGTGAGGTCGTTGCCTTTCAGGCAGTGACATAGTAGGTTACATGGTCCTAGGGATCAGTTGTTCCATCATATATTTAGAGGTGAGGGGCGTCTTGAAAGTTTTTAGTATGGCATGAGGAGCCACTTCTTCTCTGTATGGTTGTATTATGCCGGCGTCTCTCTTCGGTAACGATTTGGGGCACCTGATATCTTGTCAGTCCATTCTTGCTGCTCCTTTATCTGTTCCTTGAGAGCCTTGTTCTCGTTTCCATTTCCTCCATTCTCTTTAACACGGCGGCGAGGACATTGTCACCTACACCGTCAATAGTTGTATGAGTGTTACCTAAATTTGGAGGGTTCGGTTGGTCGTCTTGTTCGTTCCTAAGCTGTGTTGCGTGGTTCTTTGTGGTTTCCACCGTTGTGCATGGGGCTTGTTTTCTCATTACGCTGACCAAAGTGTCGGTTAGCCAAGCTTCAAGGAGCTTTTTTATGGGGTGTAGTGCTTGCTCTCCCACGGACATGGAAGCCACTTTTCCATTTGGTTTGGCTGTGCTACAGAAGAGTGTTGGCGACTTCCCTAAGTTTGGGAATACCGTGGGGGTTACCTCCCCATCTTGAGTTTCATACCCTTCGTCGATAGCACCCATACGGTTGAGCGGGACGTTGTCCGTTTCCCTTGTTCCCTTTCCTTGGTTACTTGTCACGGAATCCTTGTATGCACAGAGAAAAAGGATATTCTACAGCTTGTTAGGTCAGTAAGTAAAGAAATTTATAGATCTAAATGACAACTAATAGTTTGACTAAGAAATCCCCACAGACGGTGCCAAACTGTATAACCTAAAATTTAGATCTAGGTTTTTCTACATTTAGATTTATAGAGAAAAGGGGTTAATCCAAGTCAATATTAATATCCAAGTGGCATATCTGGTGTTTTTATGAAGAGTATTAGACGTGTGCCGTTTAGATAAGAATGTCTTAGAGCACTAATGGCATAAGAACATGAAAGAGAGCAATAAATGACAATAAATGGCATTTAATAAATGGAACAAGGTTCACCAGACAAGGGTGAGATTTTTCACTAAGCTTTCTGATGATGATGGATGATGATAAGCAAATGAATATTCCGATTGTTCTTGGATCGTGAGAGAAAGATAGAGAAAAAGGAGTATAAAGGTAAACCTTGTATGCATTCAATAAACAGAGAATCTTCATAGAGATTGTCTATGTTGTTCTTTACAAAAAGCATTCCCCTTTTAGAACTACCTCTTTTGCTATTTATAAGAGTACATTGGCCACAAAAGCCTAGATTGTACAACGGAGAAGAATACTCAATAGAATATTGTCGTTAGTGCACACCAAGGAGGGATGCTCATCCTCGTCCTTGTTTTCTATCAAGCCATACCTCGACCTCGACCTCGACGATAATCTACCTTCTTCACATGACCTCGACCTTTTGAAATCAGGTTGACACGTCACACCTTTTAAAGGCTTTATCTCCGTTGACCAGGTCAAACACGTAACATGAAGTTTTTCACCCATACATCTATAAATTGTGCTTAATATCTTTCATAAATAAAAGCAATTTCTTCTAGCTTCACCTATTTTGATACTTAAGCGCAATTAACAAAAATCATAATCGTGTTATATTATCATATATCAAGATAATTACTGAAAAAATAGTCAAGTGAGGAATAAATTTTTATAGTTGAATAAATTAGAGGCTCACGACCTAGTTGACATTATCATATGACTGGTGGAGTATAGTGAGTGGTTTTTTCTCGGATGGTTTGTGATAAAGTTTTACTAATATTATTTTATATCTACCGACAGTGTTATTAAAAATTTTTATATAATCAATTTAACTTTTTGCAGAATGTTACTTCCTTTATTTTTTACTTTAATAATTTCAATGAATTTGTTATCTTTAATTATCTTTACGGTAATCTGATAATGTACGAAAATATTAAATCCATTAGGATCCTTTTGCTCATAGGAGCGTCTCACGGTTATCTTTCGTCCCAAATATACCCCTCCCACTATCGTTGTGACGCTTCCACCGTGTCAACCAATATTAATTTTTATGATAAAAAATTGTTAGTCAGAGGGGCATATAAGACAAAAATTAATGGTGAGGGCCCTTATTAGCCGATAGATTAATGGAAGGCATATTAAGATTAATTGCAGACGTTTAGGGACAAATTTGATCATTTTCCAATTAAACTATTACCGTATATAAGTTAAATCCAAATTTTATATGGTTAACAGACCAAGTTATGGTTTTTACAATATGTAAACCTTTCGCCTTGACCTTTCTATAAATAACGGGTACCCACACACAGTTACACACCATATGGTTTCATTTCCCACGAATTAAGGGACCAAACGAATTTGCTTCCATGGCTAAACTATTCCATATCCTCCTCATCTCCATTCTCCTCTTTCTAGTAGCTTTTCCGGCCACCGGAGAAGAAGAACACATATTTGGAAAATCCTTAAAGAGAAAATCTATGGGTCTTAAAAAGGAAAAACTCAGCCATTTCAAATTCTACTGGCATGACGTCCTTAGTGGCTCCAAACCAACATCTATGATGATTATCCCACCACCAAAAAACACAACCACAGGCTTTGGTCAAATGAATATGATAGATAATGCTTTAACCCTAGGACCAGAGTTGAGTTCCAAAATTGTTGGAAGGGCACAAGGGTTTTATGCTTCTGCTTCACAAAATGATGTTGGTTTAATGATGGTCATGAATTTTGCCTTTGTTGAAGGGAAATATAATGGAAGTACCTTTACCGTACTTGGCCGGAATTCGGTGTTCGAGAAGGTGAGAGAGATGGCAGTGATCGGCGGCAGTGGGCTTTTCCGATTTGCTAGAGGATATGTTCAGGCCAGTACTCATTCATGGGATATGAAAACTGGTGATGCTACTGTTCAATATGATGCCTATGTATTGCATTATTGAGGTCTAGTAACTATAATTAATGTCTAAGTTACTTTTCATTTTTTTTTTTAATTTACTCTTTGGCAGCTAGTTTTAAGCAATAATTGTCGTACGATCACACCTTTTTCCCTCATCTTGTCAATTGTCGTATTGGAGCTGGATTATTAGACCTGTTGATATTTGTTTCATAAGTCAAGAACAGTTTATGTCAATTATCAAGCTTTTGTTACTTGATTTATTACTTGAATGAAGAAAGAAGAATCAAGTCGAGGGAATATTATTAATTACCATGGATAAAATGCATTGCCTTTTTAATACAATCCCACTGATCTAATTTAAGTTGTGCACTTTTCTTTTTAGTTTTTCCAAAAAAAAAGAAGATATTTTTATATTTAAAAATAATTAACTTTAATGTATTCTCATATAAATTGCTAAATATTGTCAAAATTCATTCCTTCTTCTAAAAGCCCTTGCCCTGTTGCCCAATCCAACAATATCACATAATATAGGACCGAGAAAGTAATTCTTATGATTTGATTAATTACTAAAGAAGATTTAGGCTCACTTTTTATAATTTCAAGGAAGAATGGAGAATATCTTGTTCAGGGAATTGATGTGGGTAAGATCCAAATATAATTCTTATAATCTGAAACGATTGAATAGATCGACATCAATTTCAGTGGTCTTACTAAAGAAATTTATGCTACAAGAACTTCTTGGATAGAATTGATTTATCAAATTTTGTTAATCAAGTTTATTAATCAACACAGCTTTTGTGCTGGCTAGTATGGCTGCTCTGACTCACTCCATCTGGAAGGCACGAAAAGGTCTGTGCGTCGACACATTATTTTCGTGGCTTTTTATAAATGAGCTGAGAATTTTACGGAGAATTTAAGGGAGAATTGGTTTCTTAGTGTCAATGTTACTACTTACTACCCGATATTTATTAATGAGAATGGACTATTTGAACAGAAAATATATAGAAAAGAAGAGGATTTATGTTGTGAACACTTAAATGTTCAACAATATGGAACTAATTGTTAGTAAACTGTATTTGTAAAATAATCTCGAGAAGATAAAATAATGTTTAAACAGAAATTTAGAAGAAACAGAATTTAATCCGAGCCTACTGAATTCACAGTGTTTCCTTAAGGAACTTAATCCGCTCCTAGTACCCGAGGTTGTGAATTATTTCCTCCTAGGATAGAACGAATTACACACTGGTGTAGTGGTACTTCAAACTCCAGTGTTTCAGCGAACACAATAATCAGTAGCAAATCACACTTACTGTAGCTTTTTTTTGTAGTTAAAATGATGCAGAAGAAAGGAGGAGAATTCAGAATTTCGTATGGAAAATCTGAGAGAATGGACTGCTATTTTAAGCCAACATGTTGAGTTCAAAAACGAAGAGGTGCAACTCTTCAGAGGTTAGTTATGACTGTTCATGTAAAACGGCCATAACGTAAATGGCAATTTACTTATAGTAAAACGGGAATTCAAAACGCAGAGGAACTTAATTTTCCGTTACAAAAAATGGATAATTTGGATTTAATATTAATTTTCCGTCACAAAAACGGATATTTAATAATATTACGTTAATATTTACTATTAACAAATAAATTTGGTCCAAAAAAATTAATCAATCAATTGATCATTTGATCAAATCCAAATCCAAATACAAATTCAAATATGAAGCCGAAGCCTAAGCCGAGCGAGCGACAACGACGGTGTGAGGCTTGCCTTCTTCTTAATTCTTTAAGAGCTAGAAGAAGAGCAATTGTATATATACCCATCAAAAGTCTTTTCCTCCTCCAATATAGGACAATGTCCTTTTGTCAAGGAGGGAAACTCAAATATTTCATTTTTTCTCCATTTCCCATTCACCCTCTTTTAAGCTAAAATAAGCTTAAAAAACCCAACAATCCCCCACATGAATGGGGAATGGCTATATCACAGAAATATGCATGAAAAACTGTGTGATTCACAAGCAAGGATTAATCGCATATGGATAAGTAGGTTTCCCTTTGAACTTTTCATAGTGAACTTATGTCGGATATACTCGGTCAATAGGTAGATTTGATATCTTTAAACCTTGAAACTTTGGTGTATACCTAGACAATCATAAGTCACATAATCAACCCTTAACCGTCTTTGGTTCTCATTGTTGTGTTCGTTTCACCCATGAACACCGCCTGGTTTCATAAGTGCATAGAGAACTGGTCTTACAAAATTCTCCTTGAAGCGGCTAACACTTCACACTTACATAGGTGATTCCTAAATGTGTCATCCCGTAGATACACTATTTGATATACCCTGTATCAAATTTAGAAATCATTAAAAAGCCTTAATATTTTATCCTTGGTACTGAACATTGTCTCATCACGAGAATGGACCAAAATTTTAGTTGACAATGTTGAACCATCATTAATGACTTTGTTTGATATCCTTGAACCAAGATCTTGGGATCTCCAGTCTTCCAGGTAGAGTTACCGTCACAATGACTTGTCCTCGGCCATAGTCCCATTCCCCTCGATGATTTCTCAACTACCTCTCTAGTTAGGCCTTTCGTAAGTGGATCTGACACATTATCGCTTGACTTTACGTAGTCAATCATGATAATTCCTCTAGAGAGTAATTGCCTAAAGGTTTTATGTCTTCGTTGTATATGACGAGATTTATCGCAATACATAACGCTCTCAGCCCTTCCAATTTCCGCTTGACTATCGCTATGTATGCATATTGGTGCCAACGGTTTGGCCAAAATGGATGTTTTCATGAAATTCCAGAGCCATTTAGCTTCTTCACCGGCTTTATCTAAGGTTATGAACTCAGCCTCCATTGTAGAGCGGGCAATACAAGTTTGTTTGGACGACTACCAAGATACCGATCTTCTACCAATAGTGAATATATATCCACTTGTGGACTTAGAATCAGTTGACCGGTGATCCAATTTGCATCATAGTATCTCTCAATCACCGCATGATATTTACTGTAGTGCAAAGAAAAGTCCTCGGTATGTTCTAAATATCCCAAAACTCATTTCATTACCATCCAATGAGATTGACCTAGATTACTCATGTATCGACTCAATTTACTTATATTCTCTGGTCGTGTAAATTCATGATATACATTAAACATCACAACATATGAGCATAATCAAATTGTGATATTCTTTGACCTTTGTTCTTTGCTAGTGCAAGATTCACGTCAGTTGGAGTCTTTGCAACTTTAAAATCTAGGTGCTTGAATTTTCCAAGAACTGTCTTAATATAATGATATTGTGACAATGCCAGAACTTGAGGATTCTTATGGATCATAATACCCAGAATTAAATCAGCAACTCCCAAGTCCTTCTTATCAAACTTGCTAGTTAGCATACGCTTAGTCGTATTTATGTTGGCAATGTCATTACTCATTATCACCATATCATCCACATATAAGCAATCAATGACTATGTGATTTGGAACATTTTAATGTACACACATTTATCACATTTATTTATCTTAAAACCATTTGACAATATTGTTTGGTCAAATTTCGCATGTCATTGTTTGGGTGCTTGTTTTAGTCCGTAAAGGGACTTAACAAGTCTACGTACCTTCTTTTCTTTATCTAGAACAACAAACTCTTCAGGTTGTTCCATGTAGATTTTTCCTCCAAATCTCCATTTAAGAAGGTCGTCTTAACGTCCATTTGATGAATTTCAAGACCATAAACTGCAGCTAATGCTACTAATGTTCGTATGGACGTAATTCTTCTAACTAGAGAGTATGTATCAAAATAGTCAAGACCTTCTCATTGTCTATATCCTTTGACCACAAGTCTTGCCTTATATTTATCAATAGTTCCATCATCTTTCATTTTCCTCTTAAAAATCCATTTAGAATCCAACAATTTATTTCCAGGAGGAAGATCAACCGATTCCCATGTATGATTGTTCAATATGGATTCTATTTCACTATTGACTGTCTCTTTCCAAAATAATGATTCCGAAGAAGACATAGCTTCTTTAAATGTTCGATGCTCATTTTCCAATAAGAAAGTCACAAAATCTGGTCCAAATAAAGTAGACTTTCTTTTATGTTTACTACATCTTGGATCCTCCTGATTAAATGTACTTTTTTTGTTTCTTCCCGAGGTAGTTTAGATCCTTCACCAATCAATTCACATTCCTTTTTGTAAAAATATATATTTTCAAAGAACTCAACATTATTTGATTCTATAACCGTATTATTATGAATGTCGGGATTTTCTGGTTTATGAACCAGAAATCGATATGCTTTACTATTGATCGCATATCCTATGAAAACATAATCAATGGTTTTCAGTCCTATTTTTATCCTTTTGGGTTTAGGAACTTGCACTTTTGCCAAACACCCCTACACTTTAAAATAATTAAAGTTTGGCTTCCTTCCTTTCCATTTTTCATATGGAATCGATTGCATTTTTCTATAGTGTACTCGATTTAGTATCCGGTTAGCCGTAAGAATGGCTTTCCCCCACAAGTTCTGTGGCAAACCAAAACTTATCAATAATGCGTTCATTATCTTCTTTTAATGAACGATTCTTTCTTTCTGCAATCCCATTGGATTGGGACGTGTAAGGGGTCGTTGTTTGATGAATAATTCCATATTCTAAACATATTTCTTCAAAAGGAGATTCATATTCACTGCCCCTATCACTTCTTATCATTTTGATTTTCTTGTTAAATTGTGTTTCAACTTTATTTTTGTATTGCCTGAATGCGTCTATTGCTTCATCTTTACTATTAAGTAAGTAACCATAGCAATATCGAGTACTATCGTAAATAAAAATTATGAAATACTTCTTTCCACCGCGGGATGGTTTTGACTTCATGTTGCAAATATTTGTGTGAATTAAGTCTAAAGGATTTGAATTCCTTTCAACTGACTTATAAGGATGTTTAACATACTTAGATTCCACACATATTTAACATTTTGATTTGTCTCATTCAAACTTAGAAAATACTTCCAAATTATTCATTTTTCGCAAGGTTTTATAATTGACATATCCTAAACGTATATGCCATAAATCATTTGACTCAAGTAAGTAAGATGAAGCTGAAATTTTTCTTATACTCAATGACCGTTACATTCAGTTTGAAAAAGCCCTCAGTGAAGTAACCTTTTCCTACAAACATCTCATTCTTACTTATTACAACCTTATTAGATATAAAAACACACTTAAACCCGTTCTTAACGAGAAGTGCATCAGAGACTAAGTTCTTCCTAATCTCGGAAATATAAAGGACGTTGTTAAGAGTCAC